CATCAAGATGATGTAGATGACCACAAGATGGTCCTTTCCACCACACATACACCACATGAGTGCTCTTGTCCCACTAGTGGACTATCATGATATTGATTGCTCGCATTATGATGGTCTCCCTATTGTCATGCCTCATGCTAGTTTGACTTTCTCATGTGATGACTTGTTATCCATTTATGATCAATATGATAATTTCATGTGGAGTCTATTAGTTGCTATCCTATGTTGCATAGGATATCTTATGAGAATTCATTAGGTCACATCATATTTGATAATCCTCTTGCTTTGTCATATGCTATGGATAAGATTGTTGACTTACATCATTGACATCTTATCGTCGTAACTATGCCTATCCCATAAAATGCAATTTAATTTGCAAATATGGCATGGATGACAAATTTGTGGTTAATGACATTTGCATGACTTCTGAAGTGTGAACATACTGCATGCTTTGCATCCTACAAATACTATTTGTCATATGCCATGCCATGACCACTTCACTTTGAACATGCATTACTTTATATGTCAATCCAATTTCTCCACGTGTTTGCTTACTTGTCTTGCTTGCAACATGCTTACACTTACTCATGAAGAAGCCCCCATAGTTTCCTCATACATGTTAGGAGAATTTGACTGATCTTATGTGTTGCATGATTCCCATCATTGTGTGCACGATATGCTTATCATGAATACGAATACCCGAGTTGATATTGATGCACTATGGTTGCTACACTTTGAATCCCCATTGTGCTTATGCATAACAACAATCATTTCATGATGGATGTCGTATTTCTATATCATGCATCAAACTTATTTGAGCATTGCATATCTTGTGCTAACACCCAACATACACATACACACCATGATAGATGATGCGTACATATATCACACGCACACATTGTTTCTTTTTCAATGTTGTGTAGGCACCCACGCTTATTCGTCAACCTCGCAAGCACACGAGAGACGAAACGAGCTCTTGAGAGCAACCAAGATGTGCTCTACCACGGAGTATTTATCCTCCATTCCTTTTGGCAACACGACTTCGGGACCTTATTCTACATGGCACTCACATGGTTATGGGGTATTGTTCATTTCACACTTCGTGCCCACCTTACCATATTCATTTTGCATGTCATGGTCATTCCTATATCATACGGACATGCACTTGTGACCCATGCTTTGCATTATACATGACCCATCCTTATATTTCTTCTATGTATGCTTGCAAGATTGGTGGAGATATTTATTATTGCCATGTTCCATGTTTATTACTACCTCCGTCCGGGTTTATTGGGCCCGAAAGCCACAAAGCCCCGTTCGTAATTACTAGGCCGCTTATGTTAGTCTCGCTCGTTCGCATTGTTCCATGCCTTGGGCAGTTAATTCCAACCGAGACATGCAGCGGCCATTCCTACTTTCAAGCCACATCAAGCAGCCACGGTCAAAAGGCAGTCAATGCATGGGTAACCTTCCATGCAGCGGTGAGGTACGCACTGTTGTTAAGGGTGGGAGGTTAGCAAGCGGGGAATTAATGGGAAGCGAAGCGCTCTGGTTGGTTGGACCAAGAGCGAGTTTTGAGGAATCTCGGGTACGGCGTGTCTTGGTATGATGATTTGGCTTCGGGGTCTTTTAAACCTGGACGGAGGTAGTACATGCCTATGATGATACTTGTGTTGGGGGAGCCATAATTATGCATTGTTCGTTCCAAAGGACTTCTCCCCGAAACATTGATAGTTTCCCATGATGATTGGTGTGTTGATGGTTGTCCATCGCAAAGTCAAAATGGCCAAATCAAGAGTGATAGGTAATGGCAATGAATGCGGACAGCCTCAACCGGTTGGTTCCTTCGTAGTGTATGTCAACTTTGCATTGGTGGCCAGGTGGGCCAAGGTTGCCCTATCTTTGACCATGTTGCAATCTCGGTTTTCAGACAGTTTTCCTCAAATTAACTGGGTAGTTCTCGAAAGTTCTGTTCTCCCGAGCTCAAATGCACCCTGATCAACAGTAAAATCCAAAAAATAGTAAAAACAAATCTGAAATTTTTTTGTGGTAAACTTTGACAAATGTTCTGCATGCTTACCAAATTTCAGCATGGAATGAAATTCGTGAAGTCGACAACAACAAAGCCTTTAGTCCAAAACAAGTTGGGGTAGGCTAGAGGTGAAACCCATAAGATCTCGTGACCAACTCATGGTTCTGACACATGGATAGCAAGCTTCCACGCACCCCTGTCCATGGCTAGTTCTTTGGTGATATTCCAATCCTTCATATCTCTCTTTACGGACTCCTCCTATGTCAAGTTGGGTCTACCCCGACCTCTCTTGAATTATCAGCACGCGTTAGCCGTCCGTTGTGCACTAGAGCTTTTGTGCGCCGAATATGCCCAAACCATCTCAAACGATGTTGGACAAGCTTCTCTTCAATCGGTGCTACCCCAACTCTATCTCTGATATCATCATTCCGAACTAGGTCCTTCCTCGTGTGGCCACACATCCATCTCAACAAACGCATCTCCGCCACACCTAGTCGGCCAACACTCGGCGCCATACAACATTGCGGGTCGAACCACCGTCCTATAGAACTTGCCTTTTAGCTTTTGTGGCACTCTCTTGTCACAGAGAATACCAGAAGCTTGCCGCCACTTCATCCATCCGGCTTTAATTCGATGGTTCACATCTTCAATACCCCATCCTTCTACAGCATTGACCCCAAATATCGAAAGGTGTCATGAGGCACCACTACTTGCCATCAAGGCTAACCTCCTCCTCGTGCCTAGTAGTACTGAAACCGCACCTCATGTACTCGGTTTTAGTTCTACTAAGCCTAAACCTTTCGATTCCAATGTTTGTCTCTAACTTCCTATTGACCTCCGTCCGACTATTGTAGACTAGCACCACATCATCCGCAAAGAGCATACACCATGGGATATCTCCTTGTATATCCCTTGTGACATCATCCATCACCGAAGCAAAAAAGTTAAGGGCTCAAAGCAGACCCCTGGTGCAGTCCTATTTTAATCGAGAAGTCATCAGTGTAGCCGTCACTTGTTCTAACACTCGACACAACATTATCTATGAAAAACAAAATCAGCACTGCAAAATGTTCTCAAAACTAGCATTTATTGGAGCATCAATTTTTTTCCACGACTTCCACGAATGTCATTTCGTGCTGAAATTTTGCAAGCATACAAAACATTTGTCGAAGTTTACCAAAAAAACTCATAATTTTTTGAATTTTTTACTATTTTTTCAATTTTACTGTTCATCAAGGAGCTTTTGAGCTCAGGAGCAGATACTCCACGTTCGATAGTTCTCTTCTACTTAGTTAGCAAATTGAGGCCTTAACTACAATTAGAAAGTGTTTGTGCCCATCTACATGCATGGGGGTTCTAATAGCTACGCCTTGTCGAGATATTGTGCTGAGATAAATAATATTGTCAACTTAATGCTTACACTAAAATACTTACATCTATGACTAAGTTGCATGTAATTCAACTCATCTTTACTTCCATATTCATGTGCCTAACTAAAAGGATCTCCACATGTATGGCATGCTCGATAAGAACATTTATAAGTATGGAATTCACATGATGGATTGTAACTTTTTAACTATGAAAATTCAAACACCCTATGCACTAGACAGGCTTCTATCCAATCCAGCCCACAGAACAAACAACAAACTTTGCAAAACACATGTCGATTCTAACATACGGCAGGTTGTGCAAGACAAACACATTGCGCCATACACATTTGTTGTCGCACAATTCATTGAAAAAACAAAAATTGTAAACCAAATGGTATACTTATATGCATGTTGGATATTTCTAATTGCAAATATATGTGCATGCGAGAATAAAATTGGCAGTTATCCATCTCAAAATATTTAGAATGTAAGTCGATGCTAAATTGCAAACCTTATAGAGGTGGACTATCTTCTGCCTGTATTCTTTGTGCCTATGAACCTACACCAAAAATAATACATCATATGAGTAAGCTCACTTAAGTAACAAGACACAACAAGAAGCAAGGTTGAAATGCTGGAAGCAAGCCAAAGCTAAATTCAACTACAATGGGAGCGTTTAGATCCTTGGCAAGAGTACTTATAGCCTTGCCGGGCAAGGTTAAGTGTTTGGGACTATTTAAATATCTTAGCTTTTGTGGGCCAGCTGACTTAGGTGGGCTAGGAAAACCTTGCTTGCTCAGGAGAGCCAAATCGGCTCGCTTCCAACGGCGAACTTCTCGCGGAAAAGTCTATGACCCATTCCTGACAATAGTTTTCACGATAAGGCTGGTAAAGTAAAAGAACCAAATGACTTGACCAAGCAAGGTTATCAAAGTGAAAGCTGCTAGATGAGCTAGCCGAGCTATTGTCCAACTAAGCAATGGAACCAAACACTCCCTACACTGTTTTGCTTTGACATTTTCATAATCCAGTTGTGAATATACACTGATGAAGGTTTAAACATGCAACAAAGGAATCAACACCAATTACAAAGAACAAAGCTCACTTCCAGTGTAACAATCAGACTTTGTAATGAAAACTGAGCTCGAGTATGAAGGATGCAATATTGTTGTTCTAATCTAGTATCTCTATGCAACAACTCCATCTAAATTGCCTAAATATGTACTAACAAATCCTACTGCGGCTAAGTAATAAATATAGCCCCACATTTCTACAGCTTAGTTGATTAAATATTGGACCTGGCAAACAAAACCGTCGCTGTATGGCTAGCTGTGTTGCCACTTGCCAGTCCAATACGATATTGCAGGTGAAGTAATATCACAAGTTAAAAGGATGTTATTTTTACCTGCAACTTCTACTCCTACTACCCAAGTGTTCAGAATGATGTTTCATTAAAGGGCAGCCCGATGCACGTACCTCCCGCTTGCGCAGGGTCCGGGGAAGGGTCCGACTACTTTGGGTCTATAGTACACAGCCTTTCCCTTCATTTCTGCAAGAGGTTGCTTCCAGCATGGTCACAAGGTAACAGCTTTACCGCTGCACCAAGGCTCCCCTTCTCGGAATTACGTTTCATTCCCAAAAGAAATATTCCCAAGTACCCAACCTAATCAAATCGCTAAATCTAAGAAAACCTAGATTTAAAAAAAAACTGATGTTACAACTTACAAGTGAAGGAAAATAGTAGTATGTCCGTGATAACTAAAATTAAAAATTGTAGTAAAAACTTGAATTACTTCTCTTTTGTACTTGTGCTTATTGCTATGCTAGATAAGTATATATCACACGCATCATAATATACATTGTTTAGGAATAATATATACGCCCTCTGCCCCAAAATTAGTGTCTCAAGTTTAGTACAACTTTGTACTAAAGTTACCTTCACTTATTTTGAAACGGAGGGAGTATATATATATATAAGGAAAATATATACTACTAGCAGGTGTAGTTACCTTCACTTCCGCCACCATCCAATTGCACCAAGATCGGAGCTTACCTTAACGGGCCATGGGTGGAGAAAAGGTCGATTTATTTGCACCCTCTTTGGTGGTTTGTTGAGCTTCTGATTTTCTTGGCTCAACCAACCGGTTAGGTTGTCTCTTATCTTATATGTAGTATTTAAAGAAGATTGGATCTAGATGACGCATGCAATCCAAACAACTCCTCTCTTCCAACCAGATCAAAACGACATAAACAGAAAAAAGGTATGCACCATGGTCTTCCATTTAGAGGCATCTATATGACATGTAGATTGATTTTCTATATCGCTCTTGTTGAATCAGGCTGTACCTGTGCAGTGGCGAAGCTACAGTCACTTCTCTGGGCGGGCCAACACAGGCCAGGTTAAGAAATAGCATTGAAAATTTGCTTTCTGGGCCCAGACGACAATACATATACTCCCATTGTGTTTGGAGAATTGAAGTATGGAGTATATACCAAGATATGTTCTGGAGAATATGGAGTATGTAGACATGATTGGGTAATTGAGTTAAAGTATGGAGGATATTAGGATTCTGCAGAGAGCTTAGATAATATAGTACAACCTTAGTATTCGGAAGTGTGGAGTATATATACTGGAACTTTTAGAGAGTATAAGCTTGTCACACTAGCATGCCCTATATATGATACCCGGCAGGTTGTTTAGTTTTTTTTCTGAAAGAATAAATAAGATATCAGTTGCATGTGTGCTAACTCTATTGGATTTTCCACCTATCCTCTAACCCGTTTGGGTGGAAGAATATAGGTCACATGGCAAGCAAATAGGTAGGGGGACTACACCCGGTTGTAGCTAAAATGTCCTGGAAAAAACAATGTAGCTAATTATGTGTGTGGGACAAAACAATGTTAGCATGTCAAACTAACCCCAATAAATCCTAGTGATGTTGCTTTTAAAAAGAGCTTACCACTATATAATCTTAAATCTACCAAAGCTTGTTGATATCATGAACATAATTTCTCATAAGGTTTGATCAATCAGTTATAAAACCACATCACCACACAGCTAGATTACTCAGCTTAAAAAACTTGAATGTGGTAGATGCATTCGAGAGAAAAATATTATGTCTTCACATGCATGTAGTTGACTCATTGAAGAGTATCAATCGACTGGTAAAAACTGAACAGTAGTCATACTAGATCCACGTATGAATGTGACTTATTTATGACAGATGGAACAATAAATAAAGTATAAAGCACTCGATTACACAACTCAAACAAAAATTACCACAAGTTATTCATGGATGCATGTAAATTATATGTGCACCAGAATTAATGGCTTATGAGAATGGCGTTTGCAATAACTCTCATTAAACAAATTCAGTTGCCACTGGTAGATGAGAGACTGTTACTCAGATAAGAGACAGCCTTATCACATTCAGTTGCCACTGGTAGATGACAGACTATCACTCCCTTAAAATCAAGCAAAACCAATAGCTAAACAAACATTTTGCAAAATTTAATTTAACATGCAAAAGGAAACAAAGGATTGTCTGGATCACATATAACCTTTCTACAAAACAAGTCATGTAATTTTCTAGCCACTAGACTGCTTCCATGTTAGTAGCCACTCATAGGGCTGCCAAATGGATACAAAATGCCTGTAATATTCAACTACCCTTTTGAGAGAATACAAATATGGATGTTATTTTCCCATCCGATTAATGATTTTTTCCAGATTTATAGTTGTGTTTGAAATTGCATAAAATTATGAATGGAAATATAGTACGATGCAAGATCTGAACATTCCTAATCTAAATTGTCTTTTTAAAACTATTCATGTCCATCTTCAAATTTGATAAAGCAATATACATATCTGGATGGTATCTTTTAGCTCAATGTTATGTCATATTCCTTTAGGTGATAGAAATAAATTGTACTAACAAGGTGAGCTATAAGGAGCGTGTTGCGTGTCATCACCTAAGTTATAGGGGTATCTAAATAGTACTCCCTCTGTAAATATGCATAAAACATTTTAGATCACTACTTTGGTGATCTAAAACATCTTATATTTATTCACAGAGGAATAGAATACAACCAAATTGAATAGATATGTATTATTGTACTTGCTATAACATCCTATTCAAATTCATGAGTGCCCCTTGACAAATATGCATCCAATTCATCAGTTGACACTCCTACCAACCGCAAATCTTCTCTCCTCACCAAGTACCACCTGCCCCATCACCCAAAGATGCCATTGGCGGGACTGCTATCTTCCATCGCATCTGCTTGCTTTCTGCTCTGCAAGTTGCAGCAGTTAGGGCACCTCGAACACTATCCCCCAAAACGGACACACTATCCGTCTGCAGACCGCGTCCGGATGCTTCCACGGACACGATACGGGAGCCTGCCATCCAACCCTATACCTCAAATGTCCGACACTTAACTTAAAAAGGAATATGCCTAATGTTGATTCGAGTGGAGTAATGGTCACTTTCTAATGCATACGAGTAGATTACATGCTAACTAATCACCTTCTTTAGCAATGCTTCCGCCAAATGTCTGGACTCCCGCAAAGCCCCTGGTTTGCTTCCGGTTTGCGGACGGACAAATACGGATCCGCGTTGGATGGCAAAGTGCGTCCGGGCAGCTCAGTCCGGATGTATGCAGGCGTTTCGAGGATCCGTGTTGGAGATACCCTTAGTTCGCCCACCGCATCCAGCGACCAGTGGTGCCAATATTACCCCGGACTTCCTCTCATGGCCAACTCTCCTCCACAAGGCCCCACTGCCGAATGATACTGTCGACCGCTACTAAAGAGTATGTCCATATGTCCCATATACACATAAATCAGTAGCTAAAGAGGGATCGAGAGCTCGACCTTGTTTCGCTCGCCATGGGGCCAATAGCGCGCGAGTATGTCCCGCATGAAGTGTAGCTTGACATCACGGTCGGCATCGAGGAGGCTAGGCGGGAGGTGCCGCTCCAGGGCGCTGTACACGGCTGGCGCGTACTCGCCGCGCACGTCGGTGTAGTCCTGCGGCTTGTGCTCCGTGTTCGGATTGAGGCGCAGCCGCCTGTCAGAGTACGCAGCCGCCCCCAACGGCCGGCCGGCCATGCGCGACGGCGGCGGAGCCACGCCATTCCCGTTCGCCATCCCTCCCTGCTGGCCCTCGTCCCGTCGCTCCGCGGGCCCCTCTAGAGCCATGGCAAACGCGGCGGGATTACAACATCGAGCGTATTAGGGTTAGGGTTTGGAAGGGGCGAATTGGGGTGAAAATTAGGGTTTTGCTGAGTCCCTCACTCTCACGCACTCCCAAGTCCCAAGGGCCGGGGAGAAAGAGCAGCAGTTTGGGTAGAGTCCTCTGCCCGGCTCCACGCCTCGGAAAAAGTACAGCCTGTCTTGTGCCCGAAAAATAGAAAACTAATTTTGGTTTTTCACGTGATGAAATGAAACAGGTTTTTTTATTCAAACCTCAATTGTTTAAATTAGTCATCTATCCCTCCGTTCATAAGTACTCCCTCCGGTCTTTTTACTCTGCATATAAGAATTGTCTGAAGTCAAACTTCTCAAAATTTGACTATATTTATATGAAGAAGTTTGACCATATTTATATGAAAAAAATATTAACATCTATCATGCTAAAGTTATACAATATGAAACTTTAAGTCCTGATGCATAAACTGGTATTGATTGCACATTATGAATGTTGATATTTTTTCTATGAAGTTGGTCAAACTTTACGAGACTTGACTTCAGACAAATTTTATATGCGAACTAAAAAGGACCGGAGGGAGTATAAGTCATTCTGGAAATTTCAGTATAGACTACATAGGGAGTATAATGTATAATACCTAAATAGTTCGTCTCCGCTATCTTATTTCTATTGACATGCAACCTATGCACATCAGCAAGTCAGCCACATCATCTTTCTACAACCGACTTATAGGTGGGACCAACCAAAATTTAGTAGCGCAAAGAACAACCACCTCAGCGATCGGTTACCAACAGAGGGACCGACCACAACGAGACCAGCGTATAGGACAGATGTCTCTTTCACTCGATTCAACTGAACTCATCAAATTCCCTTTTCCCCTCTGTACAGCCAGGCTCAACGGTTGGGATCCTATCTCACGCCACTCCGGCAGCCTCCCCGCTGCAGTAGCCTCCTCGTTGACAACCCCCCAAGCATGCCAATCCACCACATACACGACAGAAAGACAAGGCCGATGGCGAGGCTCGTAGTTGTTGACGTCCTGCTTCAGCACGTCGCCACAAATCCAGGCAATGAATCTTTCACTATTGTCCTCTCTTTTCATCTGCTTGGTACCGCTCACGTAAAGAAATTCTGATTATTCGATGGATTTCCTTCTGCCAGAAGTCATGTGTCGTCCTCCTATGGTTTCCTTCATCTTCCCTCAATCAAGCCATGACAATGCGACGGAACTACCATTGCATCAGCCGCTACAAAGAATAGCAAAAAACACCTCACTGATGGTGCCGATGGTGCTAATGGCATCAAAGGAAGAAGATCGTGTTTCTTACTCTCAATACTGCGCCATCGACAACCAAGCCTTCATGGGCCCTCGCCACCAAAGACGCGGACTGTTGTTGATCCAGGCCCCGTGGCAGCCACCATGAGGGGCTCGGATGGGCCAAGCCCCACATCTCGGCGTCAAATCAGGCTCATGATGATCCACAGTTCCACACTTGCCATTGTCAGCATCCTCCTGCAACATTACCTACGCCTGAGGTGGGGGCTCACCTTCCCTTCTACTTCTTGGATATGGACGAGTTTTTTGATTTAGTGGATTGGTTGGAAGATCGGATTTACACTACAAAAAAATACACTTCCGTGATGATACGTGTTTGTCACAGTAGGTTGCGTTTTTTGTCATGCATGTACATCCATGACAAATTTATGACAGAATCAAGATAGTCATACCTGTGTTGTCGTAGAAGTGTTCCATGACATTACCAAAATTATCATCACGGAAGTGTCCACTTCCATGACGATAAATTGCGCGTCACAGAAGTGCTTTCGTCAAGGGTGACCGACACGTGGCATCCACCGTAACAGAACGCCGTTAAGCTATCGGGTTGGGTTTTGGATCTGATAACCCGTTAACAGCCCCGACCAATGGGAAATTTCCACGTGTAAAATTCTTATTGGCCGGACGAAACACGTGTCAGCTCGTTAGTGGGTCAGATAGGCGCCTATGATATGTCAACACGTGGCACGGCCCAACAGAGGCCCATTCCTGTGAAAAGGCCGGCCCGTTTGACTTGGTCAAAAGGTGGCGGGTCGGCCCATGTAAAGCTGTTAACGGCATGTTCGCATATAGCCCATTTACAGCCCGCTAACCCAAGGCCGTTACGCCCTATCCGAATTAGGCCCAGTAGCGTCATCTGGGTCATCCAATATGATTCCAGCCCGTTTTCATTTATGGCCCATGTATGGCCCATGACGTCTTTCGGCCCATATGAGGCCCTATGTAACTCTTGGCCTATTAACGACCCGTGGTGAAACTGGCCCGTAATGAACAGTGTATCACTTTACACCCATTAACGACTTATGGTGAAACTGGCCCGTAATGAACAGTGTATCACTTTATACCCATTAACGGCCCGTTATTCTGTTGGGCTGTTTCCAGCCCATGTTATCTTTTGGCCTTCTCAGAGCCCATTTATTCTTGGGCTCATTTCCAGCATTCGTTTACTTACGGCCCGTTACTGTCATTTTCTGCTTGTGGGCCAAATTCAGCTCGTGGTTACAGTCGGCCCGTTTGTGGTCCGTTAATACGTTGGGCCGTTTTCATAGCATCATCAAATACGACCTATTAACGATGGCCCGTTACGGTCGGCCCATGAACGGATGATTCCAACTCTAGCATGTTTATAGCCATAATGCGGCCTGTTATTGGCCCATGTTTGGCCAATCGATCATACAGCCCGTATAAGGCGCATTGATGATACGGCCCGTAGAAGGCCCATTGTTTCTACGGCCCGTACAAGGCCTACTGTTTCTACGGCCCGTAGAAGGCCCACTATTTCTACGGCCCGTAGGAGGCCCAGTGTCACTACAGTAAATATTAGCCCATGGTTATTGTGGCCTAGTTTTAAAAAATAGGTTATTGCAGCCACTAGTTAACCGCGGAAAAAGAACTGCAATGACTACAAGCAAACAAATAAACAAGACAACAAGGAAATAAATAAGCAAGTAACTAACCTAGGCTATCACGGCTATTACACATATTACATCCACTGGGCATCAAAGTTCGCCACCAGTGCAAATATAGGGAACAAAGCAGCATATCATATACACTGGCCGTCAAAATTGACCACCAGTGCAAATAAACGCGGCAGCAAAACAAGAGCATAACTTAAACAACTTCAGAAGAGCTCAAGAAACGTTATCCTGGGTATCCACCATGCTGGCAATAAGCTTAGCAAGCTGATTAGCTTTGTCCTATTTGGCGCTAAAATCCTCCAACGCTTGCTGTTGCACCAGAAAGTATGCATCTGAATGCTTCAGGGACTTCCGTAGTCCTTCCGATTCTTGTCGCAGCACAGCTGAATGATGTCTTTTAGCTTGTAGTTGAGACTTAAGAAACCGAACTGATTCAAACAGTGAGTTTGAATAGCTTGTGCAAGCGGTAGTGGCCAGTAACTCCAACACTAAACCAAGACAGGATGTGTCACTATCCTAAACCTTATCTGCATTACTTCCTTTACCATTGCTTAATAAGGCACTCTTCCCCAATATTCTGTCAGCATTCTAAAAGAAGAAACAAGCAGACACATAACAAGTTTAGCATGTACTAGTATATGAAACTCATTTCGGTGAACCAGTTCATTAGTAAGGTGGACAGGATTAAACTACCAAGTCTTCTATTGCCAAGTACTAGTACATAATAAAAGCATCAAACAAACATATATCTATGTCCTATGGTAGCAATGGAATCTTAAATTAGAACATTTGTTCTTCAGGTTTAGGCACTTATTCTACCTGAACAGAGTACAGTAAGACGCAAGAATATAATACTTAAAAATAGAAAATGAGCTCATAGACCTTACCACATTCTTGGTTCGGGACCAGTACAGAACAAGGCGTTCCCAGTCATCATCCAGTAAATGTGTCTCAGGAGAACATAAGGGAATTTGATGAGTTTCTTTGCCGGTGAAATACGTTTTCTTCAAGTAATTCTGATACTGCCACCAAGCATTCTTGAAGATAGCAGAAGTATTAGCACAGGTTACCTCATCCTGAGTTTTCAAATCGGTCCTTCTCTATAGAGAAAAATGGGAAAATTTGTTGTATTATAACCATCATGGAGGTAGGATGTATGGGACGAAGCAAAGTAATTGCCATGAATAACATTACTTACACATAACTCCTGGACAAACACCTGCAACTGGCATTTTCCTTCATCTTCAGTATAATATTTCCAAGATGGAAAGATACGTACATACAATTTAACAACATCAAATGCGATAGATGCTAAACTACGACTAGCTGGTTGTGCTTCCTCCACTGGAATAGGCGTACTAACTGGTGGAGTTGGGGTTTGCCTTGATAGTACTGGCCCTTTGGGCATTGGAGCTGCCTTACTAACTGCTCTTGTTTGGGAGCTCTGTGGTGGAGATGGTGTTGTGTCAACAGGAACTGGGTTACTATCGGCTAGGGTTGGGGTTAGATTGGGTGAAGCTGGTTCTCTGTCCATCGTAGTAGGGGTACAATCTGCGAGAGTTTGGGTTATGTGTGGTAGGGCTGGTTCTTGTACATGTACAACCGGGGTGTTATCTGCACCAAGAGGTAGCACTGTTTTATTTGAAGACCGTGTTTTTAGTCCGCTAGATACTGGCATCACCCGCTCCAATTCAAATGGCTGATAAACAGGAAACATAGTTGAATGTACAGACATTGTGTGAGAGACAGATGCAATAGATAGTGTGGAAAAAAGAGGGCATGAAATAGTTGACATGTATATTGTTTAACTAAAACGGATAACATGACATAATTTCACACATATGATGTCTATCTAAACTGGATAGCATAGCATAATATAATTCAAAGATATGATGAATAACTAAACAGGATCGCATGAAATAATTCACCTACATGTTATCTAAGTAATCAGGATCGCATCATTTAATTCACATATGTGATTTATATGCTAAACAGAAGGCATTCGGTATGATGTCTA